CCTGTTCTCTGGATCTGTTTTCCTAGTACATTGTTGGGATTTTCTTGTGGCAGCATGTTGTTTGTTCTGTCATACTGTTTTTATAGATCTGTTATTGGGGTAATCAAACTGGGCTCTCATTACTTTGGTGTCTTCACAGAACTCCGCGCAACCCAGCGTACACGAGTCACCCAGGCAATACTGTTGTGATTCAAGGCTTTTAACATATCACGTATAATTTTTTTTATCCCAGCCGCTTTGCCAGTTTCAAGCGATTATATCGATGCTGTCTCCTCGACTGCCGTGAGATTACTTTCCTTTCTAAAATGCTATTCATCAGTATCGCCGTGACTTGCAGAGACCAAAATTAAAAGTTTTTTTCTTCAAACCATTTCCTTCATCTTTGGAAGCTGTGCGTTGTTTCGGATTAGAAAGATTCAGTACGAACTTTTCACAGGCTGAGTAGTGCTTAATCTTCATTTGCGCAGTCAGCAGATAATCTGGTAGATTATTTTTCTTACCGATTAGTACTCACAGTTCACTACTGTCCAGAGGATTCCCATATTTTTGCCTTCGCGCAGATGCTGCAGCTTTGCCATCTTCGACGTAACGGATGCACGGAAAAGACGAGGACTTTCGTTCTTTTCGTACTACCATTCGCCACCCCAAGCCCATATAGTCCATAACATGTTGAAGCGAATAAGTTATTAATTAGTCTGATCTAGATGGACGTGTCAGATTTCACTTGATATCTGGTTAAACTTCGCCAACACTTGGTCCACAAACTGTTTTTGCGCCCCTTCATCTTCAAACTTTTCCCATGTTATTCAGTAGACTGATTTCGATCTAGTTGTCTTGTGGGTCGTCACGGATTTCGAGCAGGGAGGTTGCAGGCAATTAGGTGTTGATCTGTCGACAGCTCTGTCACTCCAGCAGCATCAGTATCATGTCCGGTGAAACCGTGATCAGGTCGAACACAAATCTTTGGCCTAAACCGTCTCGATGCTAAATATAAACACTCTATGCTTCACTACAGGCAGGCTGTTTGCGCAGCGAAAGTTGAATAATTTGATAAATGAGCCGTAAAATTTAAAGTCACTAAGTTGTTATGGTCAAACTGTCAATCAAAATATATACATAAAATGAAAAAACTCCTGGAATGTTGAAGTTATTTTTATGAAGCCAATGCTGTTAAAAACTCATTTTTAGGCTTTTTTGTCAGCTTTCAGAACTTCTGAATTATTTGTCTCTAGGTCTTTTTCTTGCATGGACTTGGAGACACCGGCAATGGCTGGGCACCAGTATTTCGGGCGATGCGGTCGGGTTATATCAAATTTGTTTGTCCACATGCGTAAGTACATTCGTTTTTCTCCATGTAAGTTTCTTTGGGTAGATATCAATCGTCTTGCATTTTGTTATATTTTCCTGTTGTTGTACTCACTTGCATAATTTTGTAGTTATATAGAATTGACTTTTAATGCTATTTTCCATCATATCTTCTGCTTTCGTATGGCGATCGACAGTCACCGAATCAGCTGCATTAGTCATTAATTACACTTAGAGAAGGAGACCGCGAGAAAGTTATTATCATATCCCCTCCCCTTTCAAGGTACCTTTAAGCATTTTGCGGTAGGGAAGGAAGAGACATCCAGGTCAATAAAGCACATGTAAGCCTGATGAGCGAACTCCTATGATTTCTCAAGAGTCTGGCTTAAGGCGAAGATCTGGTCAGAAGTGCTTCGGCCGGACCTGAAACCACGTTGCTCTTCCTGTATCTCAGCATAAGCTGTTTTGAGGCACCTCCTTTCTAACACTGTTGCGTTGACTTTCTCTGGAGGCTCAATAAAGTAATGCCCCGATTAGTGGACCACTCTTTCATCCGGACTTTTCTTTCAGGGTTCTTAGACTGCCCTTCTTTCCATCTCGGAAGCGGCGGATAGTCTGCCAGAATACATTTTTTGCCGTCTGGAAATTCGACTCCAACACCTTACCGATCTTCGCCCAGGAATCAGCTTTGGCTTTCGCTACTGCTTTAGTTGCTACCTTGCGCGCTTTTACATATCGCATGCGAGAATCTGAAATGCAGCTTTCTCGGTGATTGCCAGCTGAATCTCTCGTGTCCGCTAAGAAGTTCGTTTCTGACCTTTAGGCGGCAGACCAACTCGTTTTAAACCGTAGTTTTCAGTGACAGCTGGAGTAAGCCTCTGTCAAACAGCTTCCATTCAATTTTTACATCAGTAGTCATCATAGATCTGTTAATACTGTTGGGTAAGAGAAACTGTCGGCTAAAAGTATCTGAGTGTTAGATTTAACTTTTAGCTTAGAGATCACGTCTAATGCGTAAGTTTCTCTGCTTTTTCTGTACTCACAAACATCGTAATGTACGCGCTTCATGTGATCAATGCATTTGCAACTTTCGAGTATGACAAACTTTGTGAATACAGATTGCTGATAGTGGGATTTAATTGAAAATGGCTAGTTCACGAAAGTTTCTACTTTGCAGAAATGGAAGAAATTGAAGTTTTTTGGCGATATGTAATTTCGTCTGTTTGTTTCTTCACTACATATTCTCGGATAGCCTTAATGTAGTTTTGTGTTCCCTTTGCCTAGCAGTTGTGACGAACTGTCATAAGGATACGTCTTCTTTTGTGAAAAGCTGAAATCTTAATCGCCAACATTACTTATCTTTTTGGAGCTTTCTGGACCACAGGGTTTTTACTACAGACCGGTTGCTCCGGTAACGATCAACGGCGGAATGACCATGCCATCTTGGTTTGATTTGAAAGGTCTATCAGCGTCTTCTGCAGAAGATGAAGTTGGTATCAAAGCCGCATCGAAGGAAGGTAAGAATGCTGTTTTACAGTTTTGTACTTTTTTAATGCTTAAATATTCGTCTTTCTGGTACAGGTATTCCTTCATATTCAGACATTTCAGGGTACGTCCTTTTATAATAGGGTGTATATGGCGAGGAAGCTGGCCTGAAGACTATCTTTGTAGATTTCTGTAAAGTAAAAGTAATGATTGGATTTGACAAAAAAACTGGCATTTCTCTGGTAGAACTATATTAAACGATTATGTATACTCCCAAGTACTCTGCCTTATGCTTGCAGACGATCTAATATCATGTGTTATTGAAACAAGCTCCAACGCGACAGGAGAGTTTGAATTTCGAAGCATTATTCTATTATTAATTTCAGTTCATTAGAGCGAAACCAGCTGTCCATATTGTTAACTTCGATGACACAGGCTGTCAGCTCTTTCACAGATATTACTACTGCGATGACTGCTGCCATCAGCATTTCAGACATTTTAAATAGTTTAATTTTTTTGTTACGATGGTTTTTCCTCGCAGAAATTGTAATTTTGAACAGAATTTTGAACTGTTGAACTCGCAGAACTGTGATTTTAAAACTTTCTATTGATTTACTCTAATATCTCTATCAGCTAAACACTGGTTCACATCAAAGTTAATACACTCTAATACAAATTTAGCACCCAATGGTCTTTATAATGGGCAGTGTGATGCATAGTTGTAATTTGTAATACCTATTTTATTTGTACAAAACATCTTATCGAAATGTATTCGTATTTCATCAGGCGCAATTATGAAAGAAGCAAGTCTGCGAAACAGATAACAGAAGTCTAAGCGTTTTGTAGTTGATTTTCCCCATTCAGTGATTCGCTTTTTTACGGTATTGTTATTAAACGGCGTTTTTCATGTGTTACAATGACCTGCTTGCTATAATTTGTGCTAACACGTGTTGTTCTCAGGGTTAATGTAGTATCTTTGCACTATTACCTTGTTTCAGGAAGCTTGCGGGAGTTTAGAGCAGACCACGGCTGTAAGTTGCATGTTGTTAGAGCTCCTGCTGTGTGTGAATGCAAGGAAGTAGCAGTATTACCGTGTATTAGGGAACTTTCTCGGTCGAAATTTGGTTATTGTTGATAAATTCTCCCCTGCCTCAGGTGGATGAAATACGAATTGACTGTCAGCGAACTACTGTCGCCATAGTTTGTTGACACAGTGGTACCGTAGCTAATGGCGACAACGCGTGATTGATGATGTGCATTATGTTCTTTTCATGAGCGTTTAACTCCTCCAAACCAAGTCTCGCTGCAGATGACACCATTACCTTACTGTTAAATGCCTAACTGCTATTTGAACGTACCATGCCATGCCTCTATAGTTTATGGGCATATGCAATGTATTGATGGATTTCGAAACGTTTTATTTTCTAGAGTAGTGCCTTGCTCTATATTAGCGTATGTTAAGAGTACGTTAAAGCGCTTGTTTCATCCAAGTTAGGTTTCATAGTATGTGCCACCTTCTTTCTGAATGCTGCATGGCCATTTTAGCAGGCCATGGCTCATTGGTATTTGAGTAGTGAGCCCTTACTCATGCAGCTGCACTCTTATGCCTAAATCGATGTATAACGTTTTCCAGGCATTGTGAAGTTTTTACTGTTCTAATTTGTACGTTTTTAACATGGAAGAAGTTCAGTCAGCAGTTTTGTCGAAATGAAACAAAGGAGGGTGAAAATGATCTGTGAAGTTGATAACGAGTAGATTAAAATAACACGCATTCGGAGTTGAACGCATTGCTGAAATTTTTGTTAAAGTGGAAAAAAATGAGAAGAACAAGAAAGTTAGCAACATGTGCTGTAGCATATATGGCATAATGTGCGAGTGTCCTATTGCATATGCCGTGAATTTTTAAAAGCTAAAATTTTAACCAGTAACTGAATTTGAGTGGGATGATCGTATGTCGCAGTCACGGGGTCATTTTTAAATTTTATACTGATCGGCAGATTTATGATTTATTTCAAATGACATGAAACCCTTTTAGGAGTCAAATCTAGTAATATTTCTGTTTTATGACACTCGCCAGAAAACTGGCGCAGAGATTTCGCCTGGTATGCGTGGGAGTAG